TGGAGGAGACCTCAGCCTTGTCCTCAGAAGTGGGAATTGTCTTCCTGCACAAGAATTGTCCACCTGGGAATGATGGTTTCTACCTCTACAGTGAGTTCAACAGTGAACGAGTTCATGTGAGGGTAGGGTTGATGGAGGAAGTGATGGCTTCTGACCTGCCTCTCCAGGTGGTTTAAGAGTAGCCATGAGGACTCTCCTGGCATCATTTGAGGAACCTGATCAAACAGTAAACTGTCAGGATTAAAACCTCCTCAAAAGGTGAGGATGCCTGGGGAACTGGGCCCCTTTCATGGCTAAGTAACAGCAGGGCTGCAACACAGTGTTGGAGCCCAAACTCTCCCTTAAATCCTCTCTTATCCCTTTATATCTTAGATATCTATTGGGGGCCAGCAGGAAAGCTGGGGAGGGGCTTGGGACAAGGGCAGGGAGGGATGGGATGAGGGGGAATGGATTAAAACTGGAAGAGAGCAGTTTTAGGTGAGACATGAGGAGGAAATTCTTTGGTGTGAGGGAGGTGAGAGCCTGGCTCAGGTTGCCCAGAGAAGCTGTGGCTGCCCCATCCCTGGCAGTGTTGAAGGGCAGGTTGGATGGGGCTTGGAGCAACCTGGGCTGGTGGGAGGCGTCCCTGCCCATGCAGGGGGGGTGGATCTAGATGATCTATAAGGTCCCTTCCAACCCAAACCAGTCTGGGATTCTATGAAATATTGTTGCTTTTGCAGTCAACTATAAATCTGTGCCTTGTTTCTCTGACCTTGGTGTAAGATTTGAGGTCAACTAAATTCTCCTCCTCCCCAAAGGGGGAGAGAAAAGGGCAGAGATTTCCCCTGGCAGTCTTCACCTTGGAGGGCCACCTAAAGACCAGAAGACTTCACAGCAAGGGTGCCCAGCTCCATTTTTCCAGGATGCTAATGGGATGTTCAATCCAAATTGCAGAAAGAATTATCTGGCCCTTAAACGTGGAGGCTGGGAAAAGCCATCACACTTTGGTCCTCCTGAAACCAGGCCAAATGCTTTGTTTGGCTTGGAGGTGGGGATGAATCTGGCTGGAAACCCTGCCCTGGCACAGAGCAGGATGAGTCACTCCCAAATCCAAAAGCAATGAGCCACATGCTAAGAGGACAGCAGCAAAGCATGGGAAGTCTATTTCTTTTTGACTCTTGTTCAATGAATATTAAACACCACTGAGGCTGGTGAAACTCTTCAGCTCTGACTTTCCTTTCAGGGTGGCTGGGGATGGTGGCCCTTCACTTTTCTTTGCAGGAAGGACATGTTCAACCCTTCTTCAGCAGAGCTCACAGGCTTCAATTGGGCTTGAAGCTCATTCCCTTAGGAGGGTTTTTCTCCTTTCTGCTGAAAAATGGAGAACTCAGCATGAACCAAACTTTCCTCTCCCCACCTTGGCTAATCCCTGACCTGTATTTCAGTTTGTGGGGCCACCAAAAGAAGCTCCATTTTTTGAAGGGGAAGAAAACACTGATATATTTACAGAAGACATTGGGACAGCCTGGTTTAAACTCCAGCTTACCTTATATTTCTCTGGTGACCTTGAGTGAGCAAGTCCATCACTGCAGCATCTTCACCAGTGCCTAAAAAGCCCCAGGAACTCTTTGCAGGTAGAAACTGCCCCATTTTACAAGCTGGTGGGACACCAGGTTCTGTGGCTTTGCTGCCTTTCAATGTCTTTACCTGTATCTTAGAGACTCAGCTCTTCATGTATGAAATCTAAATATCTTGTTTATATGACAATATAAATTCAAGACTCTGCACTCAGATATATATTTACACACACATTAATATAATCATTTAGTTAATTGTGTGCAAAATTCTGTAACTGTCTCTACTTAATTGATTTGGACCTGCCTGCCTCTGTGCATCAGAAGTAATTACTTGCATTTCAGTTACATTTCAATATCTATTTTGATGGAACAGTTGAGGACACAGTTATGTGACATTGTTGATAGTGGTCATAAGCTCTGAATTCATAGAATCAGGGAATGGTTTGGGTTGGAAGGGACCTTCAAGATCATTCAGTTCCAACCCCCCTGCATGGGCAGGGACACCTCCCACCAGCCCAGGCTGCTCCAAGCCCCATCCAACCTGCCCTTCAACACTTCCACACCTTCTCTGGCCAACTTCTTCCAGTGCTTTCCTACCCTCATGGTGAAGAATTTCCTCCTCATGTCTCACCTCAATCTCCCCTCTTCCAGTTTTAATCCATCCCCCTCATCCCATCCCTCCCTGCCCTTGTCCCAAGACCCTCCCCAGCTTTCCTGGAGCCCCTTCAGGCACTGGAAGCTGCTCTAAGGTCTCCCTGGAGCCTTCTCTTCTCCAGGCTGAACACTCCAACCCTCTCAGCCTGTCTCCAGAGCAGAGATGCTCTTGGATCATCTCCATGGCCTCCTCTAGACTCCCACCTAAAGGTCCATGCCCTTTGTGTAGCCACCTCATCTAGGTAACCCCCATGGGTTCTTTAGTTGGCTGAAAGCAAGAGAGATTTCTCTGTCTGGAGCAAAGTCCTGCTGTCTGTACTGAGTTTATAGGAAGCCTTGGGAAATAGGAGGTCTAATTTAGGCATAAGGGACAAATGCTCACACATTATTGCTGTTGATGTATGTTTTCTTATCTCCTTGCTAAGATGTTTTCCTCTGGCATCCCTGAAGTCTGATCCCAGCTGGTGGTTGTGAAGTGTCATTTCAAATACTCTGCTCCCAACAGGATGAAGTATTTCCAGTGTCAGATTCAAGTATGGGGAGTGGGTTGAACTTTTCTCCTCTAGAAAACAGGTCATAAGAAATAGGTCTGTGATTATTTGATCCATCCTTTTCCTGTCTTATCTGCTCTGGGGTCACCAGGCAGGTTTTCAACCTCAGCTTCTCAGAGAATCAGGACCCTTCCTCTTCTTCCCTTTGCACTGAGATGCCCTTTGGGGCAAGTTGCTTACACTTCCAGCCACAGAAACCTTCCCTGCCCCAATTTCATGTATAAAAATGCCAAGGCATAAACCATCTTATTGATATCAATTTGATTGTAACATTAAAATCCTTCCCTTTTGAGTCCTTCTCCTTTTCCTGTCAGCTGGCACTAGGACTGGCTGCCCTGGGGGACAATACTTGACACAAGGTCTTTTGCAATACAAAATATTCATCTGAATGTTGATTTTTCCCTCCCTCTGCTCTGGTTCTTCCCACTCAAAAATCTAACTGTCCAGCTTCTCATCCAGTTTTATCTCCTTGGAGATGCACACCATCCAGTCCCAGAGGATGGGGTTTGCTCCAAGAACAGTTCCTTTAGCTCCTGTCTCCAGGAATGAACCTGAACACACCACGTCTGCACTGGGATGATTTGGTGCAGCCTGCAGGGCTTGTTCTGAGATCTCTGCTGCATGTTATTGGTGCACATCTTCTCAGGGTTATAAATGGGAGCTGGCAGACAAAAAAAGAACATAGAGCAACTGAAGGATAACACCTTTTTGGAAGGCAGCCTGTGGAAGAGAGAACTCGACAGCAGTTCCTAAAATATTTACATTTCCAGATTCACTCACCCATGTGCTTCCTATTTTCTGAAGCAGGCAGAAGGAAATCACTCTTTTTCATTCCCTTGCTTTCTCACCCTTCAGCTACTGTGTGAATGGGAAGTGGGGGAGAAAAAAACCCCACATTTAGTCTTGATGCTGAGTAACCTTTAATTGGAAACAAAGCATTGAAAGCAGCTGTTCTCTGAAGGATTGTACTGAGTGCTATTAATTTGCTGAATATTTAATCCCTAAACATCTTGCAGAGCCTGAGATCTGTCCCCCAGATGATAAGGCTTGTTGTAAAGGGAACTTGAATTGCTTCATAGTGGGGTCTTCTGTAAGGAGAGATGGGGATGCTGAGAGGCTGCCAAGGAGGCTGCGTGGGACGTGGTACCCTGAGCAGGTTTGGGTGTAAGACAGGGAGATGAGTCTGTGACCCTGTTTCCCAGCCTGTTCCCTTCAGCCAGCTCCAACCTCTGTGTAGGTTCCAAACCTGTCCTTAAAATAAACCAGCATAAGCCAAGGGAGCAGGGATGGGTCTGAGAAAACTTGTGTTATGGTCCTGCAGAGAGATGAACAGGTTTTGATCATCTTGGCAAAAAAGAAATGGTCAGTGTCTTTTCACTGGGACACAGCAAAGGGTTTGTCTGCAACATCCTGATCTCTTGATCAGGGTGAGGGTGGTGAGAGCCTGGCCCAGGTTGCCCATGGAAGCTGTGGCTGCCCCATCCCTGGCAGTGTTGAAGGGCAGGTTGGATGGGGCTTGGAGCAGCCTGGGCTGGTGGGAGGTGTCCCTGCCCATGCAGGGGGGTTGGATCTAGATGATCTTGAAGGTTTAAGTGTTGACCTTCTTCTATTCTTGTAGCTTCACCAGCCAGGTCCTCTTCTTGCCAGCTACTCTTCTGCACACAAGGGACATGGTCCTCATGGTTTTGCACCAAGTGAGGCTGGGGCACGTGGGGGTTGAGTAATTAAATTCTTCCCTGCTCATGAGAGTCCAAAATGTTGTGTGTGTGAAACCAGACATGTTGAAAATATTTGATTATGTGACCCAAGGAACTTCTTAGAGTGTTTTCTCATGGTAGGGAGAAATTCCTCCCAATAACAAAGATGTGACTGGAACAGTTTCTTGATCTTAGGTAGTTTTACTTGTGCTTTCCTTCCAATAACCCCCTGTTGTGAACAGTTGGGATTGGTTGATGGCAGATCTGTTCCATTTCTTCCTGAGTGGGTTTGGAAGTCAGTTTTTGTTCCTCTTGATCTTGCTAATGCATCTTCTCTTTGCTTTTAATGAGTATAATTTCCAAAGGCAAGTGTTAGTCACCCCACCATCCCAGCCAATTCCCACGTTGTTTTTTAGAATATCTCATGAATTTGAGATTTATTTCTGCAGTCAGGATGGTTAACAAGCTCTGAGAAACATTCTGGTATCAGCAGCTCCATAATTGCTTGGGCTTGAGGGGTTTTTTTTGGCTTGTTCTTGCAGGACCACTGAGGTTTCTTTCCCAGACGGAATCAGTCACGGCTTTTGCAGGAGACACCATCCTGCTCAAGTGTGAAGTTGTTGGGGAGCCCATGCCCGTGGTGCACTGGCAGAAGAACCAGGAGGACTTGTTGCCCAGCCCAGCTGACCCAAGGGTGGCCATCCTGCCCTCAGGAGCTCTGCAGATCAGCAGGGTTCAGCACGGGGACAGTGGGATCTACCGCTGCCTGGCCAAAAACCCCGCCAGTTCCAGAACTGGGAATGATGCTGAAGTCAGAGTTTTGGCAGGTAAGAACTGGACCCTTCTACTTTCTCTCTTGTCTGGCTGTGTCCTTTGTTTCTCAAAAAGAGAAGCCACTTCCTCCTGGGGCAGCGAGGCTGCTTTATCCCACTTCCTTTCCATTTATTTCTACAAGATTCCAAGATGTTCTTCATGTAGAAGAGCCTGGAGACCTTTAGAAGCAGGTAGATGTGAAGGTGAGGAGCTGACCCCAAGGGACAGTGATTCAGGTACCTGAATCAGATATGTATGAAGCTGGTCTCTTTTACATGGTCAGTGGAGAGACAAATACTTCAGGCATTGGAACAGGCTGCCTGGGGCAGTGGTGGAGTCCCCATCCCTGGAGGTGTTGAAGAGTTGTCTAGACATAGTCATTAGGGATATGGTTAGTTAAGGACTTGTCTGTGTTAGGATAACAGTTGGACTCAATGAGCTTGAAGGTCTTTTCCAACCAAGGTAATGCTGTGATTCTGGGATTCCCATCTCACAGTGTTGGTGGGAGCACTGGAATTACTTCTCCAGGGCATTCTCTGGAAGAGCTCATCTCTACTCCGTCGCCTGGAAAGGCAATTTGTTTGGACCAGCTGCTGAATTGACCTACTCAAAGTTAGGCTGCTGGATGCTTCAGGACCTGGTGTGATCTACCAAGCTGCCCAGGCAGCAATTTGGGATCTGACACACGTGATGTTCCTCAATTCCTGGCCAAGTGAGCATCCCACTGTCCCTCTTCATGAACTCAACCAGGGTTGGTTGCTCTTGCAGTTTCATGGCAAGAGTTGAGCACCAAAAGAGGGGTTTGAACAAGGCCCTGTTGTTGGTTGGCATCATTTCTCCTAGAGAGGTCACTGAGCAGGATTCTCAAACTTCTGAGATGACCCAAATCAGGAAGGCCCTATTTTTTGGGGGGGCCAGAGTTTGTGCCCAATCTCCACAGCATGGACCTGTTCCTCATGGGCTGGTTTATCTCAAGGGCTGGTCCAGGTTGGCTCTTCTTGGGGCTTCCAAGCTCACCATGAGCCCTGTGCTGGTCCTTAGGGCAGCACTGAGCCATTCCTGCCCCCTGGCAATTTGAGATCCATGGGGAACTGATTTTTCTTTCCCTCCAGATGTCTTGATGAAAAGGAAGGAAATCAGAAACCTTTGTGTTTTAGCCAGACCTGGATGATTTTTCTCAGCCTCCTCAGAGTTAATTTCCCCTCCAACAACATTTGTGGCTGGATTAGATGTTTCTTCCTGGCTAAACAGCCCTTCTCAAGCTTATTTGGAGGAGAGAGGGGAATTGATCTCTTCCCAGCATGTTACAATTTAATACCAGGGAAACACTGGAGCAAATAATGAGGAAAAAAAAATATATATAACAAGGAACTGATGGAGTCCATCAGACTTTTTGGCTGAGGGCAAACAGCACAAGGTCTCAGTTCAGGATAATGTGAGCAGGCAGCAGCTCTTAGAAGGAATGAGTAGTGCTCCTGCAAGAAAAATTCAGATCTTATTGAGCCTCTTGGGAGTTTGGTTCTCTGATGCTTCAGAGCCAGCTGATATTTTGCTCCTCATTCTGCCTCTCCTGGGTTTGTTTTTTGTTGGTAGAAAACTCCCTTCACTTGCTTCTCTCCTCTCCCATAATTAGTGAAAGCAGAATACTCTGGTATTTTTTTCTTCCCTGGTTAGTGGGGAGACAAAATAACCCCCCCCCCCCAAGTCTTAAATCCTCTTCAAAGGAAGAGGCAGCAAAGCAAAATAACTGAATAACAGTGTAGGCAATGTAGAATCATTCTGTATTTTTAAATATCTTGCTTTTTCCCAAGCTTGTGGTTGTGATTTGTTGGAACCCACAACCTGGCCAGATTTGTAGTGAGATGGACTAAAATCCTGGCATGTGATTTCCAGTCTTCTCTGTGGCTTCCAAAGAGAGTGTAAGGAGAAAAAGAATGAAGGAGAAACATTTGGTGATTTAATTTCTTTAGTTAAAGAAACTATGGCTTAAATATGTGAAGTGACATGATGGTGGGTCTGGAGGTACCAGTAGCTCCTGATGGTAGCAAAATGAATCATCTGACATCATACAAGTTGAGAAGCAAAATATTTGGGTGAAGAAATGGCTGATTTCTGGGCAGCAAAGTAAAAATTCCCCCTGCCAGGCCCAGATCTGTGGTTTGACTCACCATGTAAATGAATCAATAGTTAAGGCTTCAACCTTGGTTACCCAAGAGAAGAGGTTTGTAGGCTCATGAATGTGTCTGGTTGGGGGGACAAAGTGCTGGGCAGGAAGTTTTTGCTTTGCTAACACTAAGTGACTATTTTCAAGTGTGTTTCCTATGGGCAGTTGGATTTTTTGCTCTGGAAGGGGCAGATTCTCCCCCATAAACTCACAATGAACCCACATTGCACCAACAGCTCCAACCCCCCCATCAGAAACTAAATGGACAGACCATCTGAGAATGGGTTTTCCTTCTCTCTCTGTGCTTGTCTCTTGAGCTGCAGCACAAGATAATGGGACAATCTCATGTAATTCCTTAGTTTTTGGTGTGAGTGGAGCTTGGTTGCTGCTTCTTCAGCCCTTCTTGAGAGAGGAGTAACAGCAGCAAAAGAGGAGTGAGCTGGAATGGATCCCAGGAGAAGGCATGAGGAAGGAGAGGTTGATGGTCATGGCTGAGTCCCTGCAGACCACAGAAGTTGCCTGGTGAGCTCAGCCCTGCTTTGGTGCTTCACTGACTCAGTTTTTTTTGAAGAAGAGCAGTTGGCAAGTTGGACATCTTTAAATACAGACTAATGTTGTGGTGCTGAGAGTTAGTGCTGCCTTGGCTGGATTTTGGGTGGTCATGTAGATGCAGGAAGCATCTCATCTGAGGGTATTCCATTTGGGAAGCAGCTGGATGGGAAAGGAGAGGGTCCAGTGCTGGGATCCCCAACATAAGAAGGACATGGAGCTGTTGGGGAGAGTCCAGAGGAGGCCACGGAGATGATGGGAGGGCTGGAGCAGCTCTGGAGCCAGGCTGGGAGAGTTGGGGTGTTCAGCCTGGAGAAGAGAAGGCTCCAGGGAGACCTTAGAGCAGCTTCCAGTGCCTGAAGGGGCTCCAGGAAAGCTGGGGAGGGGCTTGGGACAAGGGCAGGGAGGGATGGGATGAGGGGGGATGGATTAAAACTGAAAGAGGGGAGATTGAGGTGAGACATGAGGAGGAAATTCTTTGGTGTGAGGGTGGTGAGAGCCTGGCCCAGGTTGCCCAGGGAAGCTGTGGCTGCCTCATCCCTGGCAGTGTTGAAGGGCAGGTTGGATGGGGCTTGGAGCAACCTGGGCTGGTTGTCCTGCCCATGCAGGGGTGGGACTGGATGGGCTTTAAGGTCCCTTCCAACCCCAACCAGTCTGTAAATATTTTCTCTTCCTTACTAATGAGAAAACTGAGTGTTTTGCAAGAAATCTTCCTTAAAGCTAGAAATAAGCCCCCTGATGTTTAGTCTCACATTCCAGCAGTGACTTGGCATGGTTTCCCTTGCACTTTAGTATTTTTATTTCAGTTATTACAGTGAGAAAAGTGTCTTCATGCCTCAATTTATGTTGGTGCTGAAGGTACAATCTTTATATGTCCCTGTTCCAGAGATTCTCCCAGTCATGTCACATCCCAGAGTCTCTGCTCAACCAGGCTTGGGGTTGTTGGTTTTTTTTTGAGGGAGAGGAAGGCAGAAGGGTTGAAGCAGAAAAATGCAAGCAAGGGGGTTGGGAGGTGGAGGCAAAAAGCAAAATCCCACAGCAGCAACTGCATCCTGGTTCTACATTTTAATGCCTTCTGTATATTGAGAGATCGGTATCATTTTAATGACAGATTTCACCAACCCTGGTCACGCACAACCCTTCCTTTCTCCTTGGGATTAAGTGTTCAGCCTCTGGGCACGATGGTGAGATCAGGCTGGGGAATTTTGCCAGCCTTTCTTCCCTGACAGCAGAGAGCAAAATTGGGTTTTCTTTGGTATAAACCTGTATCTCTTTGAATCAAAATGTGACTCCGGACACTTAGAGAAATTCCAGCCCATCAGTGTCACATGAAAGGCATCTCAGTTCTGCAATTTGCCAGATGAAAACTGCTCCAATAGAAAGCTAAAATGGTAGCAACAAAGTGCAATCTTTTTCCCAACGTGGTCAGAACCATTTGCATGGCTCTGGGGGGGAAGGGAGTCTTTTGTCAACCGGACAGCATGTAGAAAGGCAGCGTGGCTGGTGGGAGCTCCATGCAGCAAAGATGCACCACATTTTCATGGAAGTAGTTCCTTTTCTTCATGTAGGATAGAGCTAAAAAAAAAGATGAAGGGAGTGGAAGATCTCCCTGGTGAGGAAAGGCTGAGGGAGCTGGGTCTGTTGGGCTTGGAGAAGAGGAGACCGAGGGGCGACATCATCCATGGGCGCAAACACGTTCAGGGCAGTGTCAGGAGGGCAGAGCCAGGCTTTGTGCAGTGAGAACAAGGGGAAATGGGTGCAAACTGGAGCACAGGAGGTTCCATGTAAACATCAGGAAGAACTTCTTCACTGTGAGAGTGACAGAGCTGGATGGGGCTTGGAGCAACCTGGGCTGGTTGTCCTGCCCATGCAGGGGTGGGACTGGATGGTCTTTAAGGTCCCTTCCAACCCCAACCAGTCTGTAAATATTTTCTCTTCCTTACTAATGAGAAAACTGAGTGTTTTGCAAGAAATCTTCCTTAAAGCTAGAAATAAGCCCCCTGATGTTTAGTCTCACATTCCAGCAGTGACTTGGCATGGTTTCCCTTGCACTTTAGTATTTTTATTTCAGTTATTACAGTGAGAAAAGTGTCTTCATGCCTCAATTTATGTTGGTGCTGAAGGTACAATCTTTATATGTCCCTGTTCCAGAGATTCTCCCAGTCATGTCACATCCCAGAGTCTCTGCTCAACCAGGCTTGGGGTTGTTGGTTTTTTTTTTGAGGGAGAGGAAGGCAGAAGGGTTGAAGCAGAAAAATGCAAGCAAGGGGGTTGGGAGGTGGAGGCAAAAAGCAAAATCCC